ACATGCATCTCTAATCTGTATGTATCTGATTATTACTAGTCATACTCGGTTACACTTGGATCCTTGGCACCTGTGTATGTCTATAAAGTCATCAGCAGATTTCAATAGTATTGTTTATCACCTCTACTATCACCTTTACTAATTAACAGGACATAAATTTCCGTGCTTCCTACTCAAATATAATACGTTTTTAAAAATTCGTTGATTTTGTGTGTGTGTGTGTGTGTGTGTGTGTGTGTATCACACAGAACATCCCAAATCATCTCATTCGACTATACACCCACTTCCCAGATAACACCCTCCCATATCCTCCCTCCCCCGACTAGAGCCCTTATACTATGATATCCCTGCCACTGTCTGCTGTGTTGTTGGTACCTGCAGCCACTCCCCACTACTTGCCCCTCTGGTGAATCTAGTGAGCCTATCTAGAGGTCTTTGTTTTAGGAGGGTCAGCTGTTCCTCATCTAGCTTTGTTTTTTATTATGAGTTCTCTAATTAGGCACCTGTATTGTCTTTGTGCTTAAACTATGCTCACCTTGGATTGTTTATAATTTCTGGTTTGTGTCTCTTTAGAGTAAGATCTTAAAATTCTGTAATATAGTCTGAATGCTGGATTTTTCTAGATTTTTAAAAATTATTTACTTAATAACCACACAATCAGAAGAAGCATTTCATTACAAGAGCATTGAGATAGTCAATAACAATTTCCAGAGCTAAGATGCATCTCCTTCAAAATTGGCTGTAAATTTTTAGGTTTACAGTTGAATTGATAGTTATACAATATTGTACTCAGTATAAACCCTATAAGACATAAAATTAAATGAGGTTTTAACCTTTAAAAAAGATTTCCATTTCACTATTAAAATACAGTTTCATATAGAAAAATTCATTTTCAGTACAATTGACACTAAGATGCACATGCATTTCTAATCTCTGTGTATTTGATTATTACTAGTGACAGTTGGTTACTTTCTGAGCTCCTTGGCATCTGAGCATGGATATAAAGTCATCAGGTAGATTTCAATGGTAATGTTTTTTTCACATCCACCAGTTATTAAGGAGCAAAGTTTTATGCTTTGAAGAATTTTTTTTAATTATTTATTTAATAACCATATAATTAGAAGCATTTCATTACAACAGCATTGACATATTCAATAACAATTTCCAGAGCTAAGATGTATCTCTTTCAAAATTAGCTATAAATTTTTAGGTTTACACTTGAATTGATAACAGTTATACACTATTGTACTCCATATAACTCCTATAAGACATAAAATTTAAGGAGGTTTTAAACTTTAAAAAAAGATCTCCATTTCATTATTAAGATATAGTTTCATACAGAAAAATTCTTTCTTAATACAAATGACACTACGATGCACATGTGTTTCTAATCTCTGTATATCTGATTATTACTAGTCACAGTCGGTTACTTTCTGAGCTCCTTGGATATAAAGTCATCTGGTAGATTTCAATGGTAATGTTTTTCACATCTACTAATTATTAAGGAGCAAATTTTTATTCTTTGAAGAATTATTTTTTTTCTTTTTTATTTATTTATATGCCCACTTCTCAGGTAGCACCCTCCCATAGCCTCCCTCCCCCGACTAGAGCCCTTATACTCTGATATCCCTGCTACTGTCTGCCGTGTTGTCGGCACCCCCAGCCATTCCCCAGTACTTGGCCTTCTGGTAAATCTAGTCAGCCTATATAGAGGTCTTTGTTTTATAGGGTCAGCTGTTCCTCATCGAGCGGTAATCAGTTGTCTATATTACTTTGGATAAGATTGGGGTCTACTGTTCATTTTCACAGTTCTATGCTGGGTTCCTGTCTGGGAATCCCTTTGGCCACTCTGGCCAACAACTCAAAAGAAGGTATCACCTGTCTGGTTGTTGCTTGTTATGTAGCCTTTAGCTATACATATGGACTTTTATGAAATTATATTGGCCCCTTTAGACTTTGGTTATACTTTCCTTTTGGGTGTTTAAGGCCACACAGTTGGTCCAGATAAACCGATTTATTTTTACTCTTAAGGTCATTTGGGAAATGATTCTTCTGTGTTGACCCTCCTCTTTGTAGACTGGACACTGGTTCAAGTCCATCTGGTGGGGTCTCCTCTGCCTCCTTGATCAAAAGAACAGGTGACCCACAACCATTACAGGACATTTTGAGAGATGCTCATAGTCCCCTGGAACTAGTCGACCAAGGAGAGCTAGGAGCAAAAAGTATCCTTTTTGTCCCTCTGACCAAATTATTAAAGACCTCAAAGTATGTCTGTCAAACACCCAAGAAGGTTAATTCCACCAGTCTGGTACTTTTAATTACTGTGTGTCATATAGATAAATTTTGGGCAAAGATCAGTTGTTCTCAGATAAACCTTACCTAGACATATATTTATTGATCTGTTATGTATAATTTATCAGTAAGTTGTAGGAGTAATATGGTTCTCTCTGGTTTTCAAAACTAGCTAGGCATTGTTTATCCCTCACATTGTATCAAC